AAGCCACGCCAGCAGCCGGCCAGCAACAACAACAGCAACAAGCCACGCCAGCAGCCGGCCAACAACGACAACAGCTACAAGCAACGCCAGCAGCAGGCCAGCAACAACAACAACAACAAGCGACACGTGCAGGCCAGCGGCAGCCACAGCGACAACAAACAGCAGCAGCCATCCAGCAACAACAGCAAGGCGCAGCAGGACAGCAGCAGCAACAAGTAGGAAGTGTCCAACCAGTGGTAATTTCCCTACCCCAACACCTTGCGCCGTTCCCTTTCAGGGGGGATGACACAGAACTGGCCGCAGAATGGATAAGTAGATACGAGGAATATTGTAAATTAATGCAATATGATGAGAACATGAAACTTTCGCACCTTACTTACTTGCTTGTAGATAATGCAAAAACGTGGTATACCACATTAGACACTGCTGTGAAAAATGACTTTTTATCATTAAAGAGAGAATTTTTGATTAGATATGGGCCTAGCCCGGCTTCTATTAGAACCAGGACTGCCTCATTGTTTTCATGCCAACAAGGCACAGGAGGGATTAGAGACTATATTGCGAAAATGACTAAAATAGGTAGAGAGGTAGGGCTGCCAGAGCAGCATATAGTGGCAGCCATAGTTAATGGGCTAGATCCCACAATAAGAACCGCCATTATCATGAAAGACCCCCAAAATTTAAAAGAATTACGAGAGGCTGCCACTTTGGCAGAAGCAGCCTCATTAGGTTGTCTTAAACAAGAACCAAGTCCAACAGTAGCACAAACTGAAATTCTAAACATGGCTAGTGTCATGTCGCAATTTACTGAAATGCATAAGGATATTATGAGTCAGTTGTCGCAATTAGTAAATACATGTGCAAGTGTGCAATCTGTGTCAACCGACATTAATTCCAAGAAAGTATCATTTCAGCCTACCAGCAGGGAAGACAGCAGAGAGAGAAGGCGTGAATGGAGCAGAGAGAGACCGCGTGAAAGGAGCAGGGAGAGAATGATCGAGAGAAGCAGAGAGAGACCGCATGAAAGGAGCAAGGAGAGAAGGCATGAATGGGATGGATCGAGAGGAAATGAGGAGAGGAAATGCACTCGTTGCGGTAAGTGGACACTACACAATGAGAGTACTTGTTTTGCACGAAATAAAAAATGTTTTAAATGCGAACGCATTGGGCATTTGGCTGTGGTTTGTAGGACAGTTCAAAAATAGGGACTCGAGCGTAATATGGCTAAGGCAGCAAAACCCCCAGGTGTTATGATTGGGAATATTTTAACAGGGAACCCTATAGAACACAATTTGGTTAAGGTGGTTATAAGAAATTTAGTTTTAAAGGCTATGGTTGATACAGGAGCTTCTATATCTTGTATTTCGGAAAATATTATTAGACAAATGGACAAGGTCACGTATATTACAGCAGATTTTACAACAGTATCAGGTGTTGGAGGAGAATTACATAAAGTTAAAGGGTGTGCTTTAGTGAAGTTCAAAATTGGAAAAAAATCTTTTGTTCATAAATTTTACATTTTACCAAACCTCCCCAGAAATATTATCCTAGGCATTGATTTTCTAAAGCAAAATGGGGCTACTTTTGATGTAAAAAATGGTATCCTTACCTTTGAAGATAAGGGAGTCTGGAAAACCGATAAACCGCGTTACATTGGTCTTGTACGTGCTAATCAACGCATAACTGTTGGTCCTCAATCAGAAGCTTTAATACCCATAAAAATATCTGGAGTAAATAGAGCCAAGGCTGGAAGTGTACTGTTGGATCCATGTGATGATAATTACCTGGTTGCTAGATGTCTAGTAAAAGTTGACAGAAACCGAAGTCTTTGTAGAGTTTATAATCCTACAGATGATAGATTGATCATTCCCAATGACAAGATACTAGCTAAGGCCTTCCCCGTGGAAGGCGATAGTATATTGCCTCTGGACGAGCCAATTCAAGTTAACACAATGTTGGATGAAACGTCCAGTACCAATACTTCAAAACAGTCAGTGAAGGGTAAGGATTGTCAGTTGATCAAACTGGCGGCAGAGACAGGTATTTCTTTGGATGCGGCAGAGTTGACAGAGCAGCAGAAACAACAGCTGTTAGTGTTGATAGGGGAGTACAGGGATATATTTGCTTCTGATTTATCAGAGTTAGGAGAGGCTAAGGTGAAAGGTCATATCATTCATACAGGTGATGCCCCACCCCAAAGACAGAGACATTACAGACAAACTACCGAACAAAAAGCTGAGATTGAGAGACAGACTGATGAAATGTTACGACATGGTATTATAGAAGAGTCTACTAGTGAGTGGGCAAGTCCAGTTGTCTTAGTAAAAAAAAAGGATGGGTCTATGAGATTTGCTATTGACTATAGGAAAATAAACAAAGTTACAACTCCTATTCACTTCCCATTACCACGCCTTACCGATGTCCTGGATATACTGTCTGATTCACAGGCCCATTTCTTCTCTTCACTTGACCTATTTTCTGGCTATTGGCAATTACCTTTAGACAAGAAAACAAGACACAAAACTGCCTTCGTGACACATCATGGTCATTTTCAATTTAAACGACTTCCGTTTGGCCTAAAAAATGCCGCAGCAGTATATCAAAATGCCATGGCACATGTTCTCAAAAATCTTAACTGGAAAATGGTCTTATGCTACATCGATGACATACTGATTTTCTCTAAAACTTTTGAAGATCACCTCCAACATTTGGAAGCAGTATTTCAAAGACTGCAGGCAGCCAATCTTAAGATCAAAACAAAAAAATGTAAGCTCGCTACAAAGAGAGTAGCCTTTTTAGGACATTTTATTTCAAAAGAAGGGATCTCTGTGGACATGTCAAAAGTTGAAGTGATTGGAAAAATAGCTAGGCCAAAAACACGCACACAAATCAGAAGCTTTTTGGGAATGTGTAACTATTATAGACGTTATGTGGAAAACTATGCGAAAATTTCGGCTCCACTTTTTGCCCTCACCAAGAAAAATAATCTATTTAAATGGACAGAAACTTGTGAAAAGTCATTCACTACCTTAAAAGATGCCTTAGTCAAAGCTCCAATTCTAGGTTATAGGTAGCTAGATCTAGGGAGATAAAAATAAGATTCCAACGAAATGAGTGGGCAATAGTGACCTGGCACAGGTAGCCAGAAGTATCTTCCCTTTCATATTTGGTTTTCAATGGAGGGATATCAAAATTCATAGAACTAGATTTAGAACTACATACATAAAATTATATAAACTTTCTCCCTATATGTAGCTGTACTAAATTTATATGTGGTGTATAGTCCCAAGCCTATCCTAATAAGACAGTAGTGATAGTAGTATTTCTATATAAAAATATACCTTTTACCCCACTCAAGCAGAATAAGATCTGGGCTTGAGCTGTGTACACCAGTCTGAGGAATAAAGATACGTGTTATAAAGATACGTGTTATTTTTACGTGTTATATAAGACCCATTTCCGTTCATCAGAATTTTCTCAACATTGGTTACATGTTAGGGAGGTGAGATGAAGAGTGGAAATTGATAGAAAAAAAAAGAAAATGATCCACTTCTGATCCTTTAAATTAAGCATGTTTTTTTTTTTTTATCTAATGTGTTTTTCAGACGGGAAGATGCGATTAAGTCCAAATTGGTCCATTGCTATATATATAGTTAGCTTATCCAGTATTGAATTATTTTTATTTTTATATAAAAAAAATTGATTGATTTTGAAGTAACAAAAATAACAGAAATTAATGAGATGGAGGTGGGCGGTGAATGAAAAATATGGAGCAAAGATGGCAAAGAAAGAAAGATTCCACAATCTTAAAATTCACTGAAACTGACCAAAGGTGACTCCAGGAATATCTATCATATTTAATCCCAAAACATTAATACAGTGACAGAGTAAATCATGTTTTTAAGATGCCAGTTTAACTCTCAATAGTGTTCAATAATGTAGGACATTGACTTCAGTAAATACCACAGGAGTCATGAACCATCCCAGAATCCCATGATTTCCAAGAATAACCAGCTAAGCATGCCCACCCCAAGATGCAATAAGGAGATAATGATTGAGATTCTAAATCAAGGACAAACGAACTCTCAGCAAGCTTGATATTATGAAAAAATATGAATGTCAGTGAAAAGCTTACCCCAGCTATAATGTTATATGTAAATTTTCTGACATGAAATAAACTTTTTTGTATTGTACTTGAATCTGTTATGCCTGCGAATTTTTTCAGTAAAAGTCTGTGTTGTTACTTTGATTTGCTTGGTTTAAATTAGTTATAGCTGGTGTCTGTTTACTTATTACATGATTACGATATTTCCACAAGTTCATGTGTAATATTTTCTAGCTTTATCATTAAATATTTCCTAAGAATATTTGTTTTAATTTTTGGAACATTTTTATTGGAAAATTTCTGCTTTGAAGAAAATATTAATTTCTGATTCAGGAAAACTTATCTGGTATGATCAGCCAGACATGTTAAATTGGCATAAATTTTGTAATCAAGGAAAGATGTACTAGTGAAAATATTTAAATTTTAGAAAGTCCCTTATTGCTGTTGATTCATTTGTTTGTTAGTAGACAAGATATATCAAGCAAAAAGTCTTTCAAAATTTTGATAAAATGATCAGGATAGTTATTCAGGAGAGAAGATATTCTTAAAATTTCAGCTGGATGTGCTGATGTTTTTAAATTATTTAAAATTTTACCATAATTCACATTTAACTTTGCTGATCTCTAGTTTTTTTTTTTTTTTTTTTTTTTTAGCTGAAAAATCTCTTAACTGGAAGGCCACTGTAAAAATGCTACTCAGCTTGGTTCTGAAATATATTGAAGCAAATTTGTTGGACTCTGTACACAAATATATCAAACAGTCTTTTCAAAGACCCCTTTTTCACCAACAAAGCACAAAGTAAACTGACCCCTAAGTTCAAATCAACTGCTTCAATCATCTCTAACTCTGTTCTTCAGGAAATAATGCAGCGATGAGGAAGTATAAATGCCCATTGTCGAGGAGGGGCGTTCTATTACATTGGCGTTAATACAGAAGACACAATTTACTCAGTGAGCCTCAGAATGGCTGGGGGCCACAGTGTCACCTCAATCAAAATGTTCCAGTGTACAAGCACTGCTTAAAATAGCTGCTATAAATGCCAGGCAGATCGAGTTTCAAATTGAAAAAAAAAGTTGTAGAAGTCGGCAATATAATTGGTGTACAAACAATTTATGCCAAGTGAGTGTGTGTGTTTGTTTTGGGGGGGGGGGGGGGGAGCAGGGCCGGGAGGAAGGGGGGGATTTACCTGGACTGCTTTTGCATGTAGTAATTGGTCTTAATATTATGTAAAAATAATCTTTAGACAAGCACTTAACAAAATTCAATGAAATTGGTATTAATTATTCTATACTGTGAATTTAACAACAAACCTGCTCAAAGGGGTAGCATATACTGGTGTGTATATATATATATATATATATATATATATATATATATATATATGTGCACCATACAGTTTTTCCACATTGATCTAGTGATTATCATCTAGTGATAATGCGTACATGAAAATATTACGTGCTGGCAAATGTATTCATGCTGCTTGTTTCCTTCACTGCCACCTTCAGACAATATACAGTATGTGGGTGTTTTAAAGTCCACATACAAGCATCGATCATTACATCATTTCCCTTCGTTAATTTAAATGTTGGAATACCAGTAAGTGTATATTAGAGCTAAGGCCTGTTTACCTTTCCTACTAATGATGCTAATTTTTCTTACTTTTTTTCTTTTCATCTAAATTCAAGCTATATAACCCCAATTATCAGAGATACAAACCAGTTAAATGTTTTTGGGATATGAAAAACAAAAAAATCAAATATCTCAAATGAATGGCAAATAATATAGAAATCTAACGTATTTATACATGAAGAAGTTCAAAACAGGAGTTTGTCAAAATTGTATGAATATGTATTATATACATGATGTTGTGCATGTTTTTTACTACTGACTAAGAATCTTCGCTGTTTCTTTAAATCGAGTTCTGTTCTTAAATCATTCTCTTTACAAAGACCACTTTGTATTGTGACATCTCCGTACTCGTAGACAGGAAATCATATTTCCCGTTTCACATTTATCCTGTGCTTTTTTCACCATTATGTGGGCTGACGCTATCTTACTCATCTTATACAAGTACACTGCTTATAGCAGTTGGTTTAAGAGTGCATTCCCATAGATTTAGATTGATCCATCTAGATCGACCTAACTCCCAGGGGGTTCACCCTAAATTGCTGTCAGCCAAGCTCGCATGGTAGTTAATTACCCCCTTACAGCTTTTAGAAGGCAGGACAGACATTTAAGCCGGCTAAGCTAACAGTAATCTTGTGAGACTCCCCACAGCGATAGATCGATCTAAAATCTGTGGGAAGGGGGTCTAAGCCAAAACACTGACAGAAATTGATGTCACAATTATTTTTTGTTGTTATTGTTGTTTTGAGAAATTTCTTGTCTTTGTGCATTTTAGGCAGTGTTTTTAATCTCGCTGTAACAAATTGGGAAGATTAATTGAGCCTGAAATATTACTTGTGTACAACATAAATGTATTATGCATATGTACATGAGAGAGAGAGAGAGAGAGAGAGAGAGAGAGAGAGAGAGAGAGAGAAAGAACAGGCCTTGTGGAAGGGGTTGGGGAGGAGGTTGAAAGAACCACACATTTGGCTGGGAAAAGGTCTATTCTGAGCCAAAATTTTATCTAGGTTTTTAGTGCCAGTACTGAGGCACACATTGGTTTTGTGGTAAAAAGGTCCACTTTCTCAGGAAAGGGCCCCCTTCCTATGAAAATGCTGCATGGTTATATACATGCCTGAAATAAGAGATTGGGTCTTGGATCAGTGGATGTGAATCACGTCCTTACCTTTTTGGTTGAAAAAAAAAAAAAAAAAAAGAAAAAAGAAAAGAATGAGAGTGATAGAAAATTAATTAAAAGCAAAAAGAAAATGTTCAACTCTATTTTCTGCTACTAATCACAGCGCAAGGGCAAGCCTGGCATGTGATACTCACATGAACATGTGAAGACCCTGTTAGATGGATATTATGTTTATGTGTACACGTAGGTATGTGCCTGCTCTCACATATATGGTGTAGGGTTTAACCAGACTGATGTAAGGCAGCTTTCAGATTGGCTTTATCAAAATTGTCTTAGTCTTATCTTATAGGAGCTACCCTGAGTTTCAGAGGACACTTAGGAGCTCGTCTTTCTATTTTGTCTCTGACACTGGGAATTAACAGACACTAGAGTTTCCTGGGTACTTTAAATTGTAACACAAGGTGTAGGGGGCAGTCATTTGATTGCATCTACCCCTCCCCCCCCCTCTCTCTCTCTCTCTCTCCATTTTTCTCTCTCTCTCTCTTCTGGTGAGTATTTGATTGCATCTGCCTTAGGGATTCAGATGCACCCAAAAACAAACAGACTGCCATACAAGGGCTGTAATCCAATGGTAAGAGTTGGAGACTGTAATATATTTAGAATAATTATTATAAAATGGAGAAAAGCAAAAGTACACAAAGATCCACCTAAAGCTTTTAAAAGAGAAAGAATTAAAAATTCCAATTCATTTATGCTCAAAAAAGGTTAATATAAGATATGAATTACAAAAAAAAAAAAATTCATTTTATAAAGTCATTAAAGAATATGGAAAAGTTCCAATTAAGGAAGAAAAAAAATTGAACAGGAAAAAGTTTTAGTTCTTTAAAAAAAAAAGGGAAAATTGTTCCCTGTCATTATTTTTAAGTTTGTTCACCTTGTGATTCAGAGCACAGAAATAAACAATTCTTGAACAGACATAAACAGATGTAATGTAACTTTGTTCCCCTTAAGCATGCTCAAATTTACGAGCAAAAATAACCTTGGCGTATACAGGCATGATTTAGAAGCCCTTTTGTTCTTGTAAAATGATATACGGTATCAAGTACCCCAAAAAGACAGAACTTGTAAGACTTGTATTCTAATTTAATTACTCCTTTTATGTACTGCTGATAAAAATGCTTGTCTTTTCATAAAATTAGTCATGAAAAACACTAGAACTTGTGTCAAAAATCTCTTGCTGTTTTCTTTTTCAGATTCTCAACATGTTCAAAATGGTCACCATGGCAACTACCATTTATTTATACATCTGGACCGCAAGTAGTCTCAGAAGTTGAGTGACTTGTGTGTTTTGGTAATTAAAATCTTTCTCCCACTCTGTATGGATGTCATGAACTCTGCGTGCAGAGAATTTAGAAAAATTTATGTGCACTGGCTTTCACAATGCGGTAGAAAGTTCTCGTGGCTTGAACTTACTATGTACCCGGTAGTAGGTTGAATAAAAAAGCTAAAACCCAATTGATGAATTATAACACACATGTACCTACAAAATAAGTTAACGATCCAGTGTGGATGAAAAAAAAAGGTTGTATAAAAAGTCCCTGTTTGGAGAAACTTTCCATGTCCTTACTGAAAGAAGAATTTAACCCTTTCTTTTTTATCATAAAAAAAGGATATTTTCACTTCATATCATTCAAGAAAATGATAACAATTATTCATAATGAAATGTGAAGTGCATTTAATCGTACACCAAGCAAACAGCTAGCGAACAGCTTCATTTTAACTAAGGGATCTTTATCACTTTTTTGGTCTGTTGAATTAATTCACAGCGGTTAGCTATGATCCATACATGAATATCATATATCTTAAATAATGATTCTTATAATGTTCTTTTATTTATAATAGAGGAAGTCATTTGTTTTATTTCAGTATATTATAATTGTTTAAGGGAAACTTCTAAAACCTTGCCTTAAGACAGTCCTATTCAGGTAGATAATTAGCATCTGTCTCGTAACATGCATACATTTGCAATAAAGGAAGCAATTTGATGTATTTTAGTGCACAATAAAAATAGTTTTAAGGGAACTTTCACAGTGAAAAACCTTGTTATAAGGAACTCTAGCATACAAATCAGTTACATGGAGTCGGATAACAATTCAATACAGTTTATTTTTCATTCAGTCATGATGAAGCTGTACATTTGGTCACATCTGACCTAAATAGGAAATTATTTTAAAAAAAAACATCAAAAGCAGTTTACATAATCAAAATTATGCATAATTTATTCTTTCTCATAGATGGTTGAACATGAGCAAGTCGCTAACATATATTTCTTATTCAAAAGGCTTTGCTTGTTAACAATTGTTATGCAAGAATCTCTCCCAGAGTATAGGCTAGAGCACTGACTGTAACTTGTCTCTATCTAGCAAAAAAACTCTCCTCGTTGCTGTTTAGAACAGACGCTACTAGATATAATAGCAGAAGCATGCTGACGGTCCAGGTAAATGACCGGTGGTGTCCGTAACTTGGGCGAGCAATTTCTGTAAGATGAACTCAAAAGCAGGACATCAGCATGTGGTCTACAACTGCAGACTAATAGGCTGTACAATAATGGTAGCTGGTTGTAATAATCTGACTGGTAAATACTTGTATATGGGCTATTCCACATTTTTATCCCCCTTCATAATACATTTTCCATCTGCAAAACATTTTGTCATTTATTAATTTCCTTTTTTCCTTGCTCATGAATTAAAAAAAAGTGAAAGGTTTTTTCTTTAATTTTATGAGGTCTAAAGAGATGAAAAAGTGTATCATGTGAAAAAATATTTGTTGCGGAGAGGAAAAATGCTGCGGAATACCCCATATCCTAGTTTCTGATAAATCACTCTAGTGAAATTTGTAAACAGATGGTCCCTGCCAAATGTCATGTATAACTCATCAAAAGACATATTGAGGATGGAGAAATGGAGTAAACAAGCAGGTATTCTACGCATTATGGAATATCATAAAGAGGACAGATCAGAACTAGCTTTCTTATAAGAATTTCATAAAATAATAGAAGGTGAAGTTAAGCAATTTGAGACTGATAAAAGTCAGCAAAATTTAGGACTATAAATAAGATGGTGCTTTTTTTCTATTCTCTCTCTCTCTCTCTCTCTGTGGTAAAGTTTACTTGCTGGCCTTTTTTTAATTATTTTCAAGGACTGCTGTTAATTTTGAAAGTGTCTTTACTTTTTTGACCAACCAAGGTCTGCTTGGCTTTCACTGTTGAATCTATGATGCAATAAGTAATTTCCAAACCTAGCTTTAGATTAAACTACCCTTAAAAGCCTTGTTTAACTCTCCAGCTCACTTGCAAAGTTTAATTTTATAAATCATCAAGATATGGTGTATCTAATAAATGTTTGAGCTGATTCATGGTTTACCATCTTGAATATACAAAGTTAATCAGGGAGTTGCGATTAAAATTTTTGACAAGCAGATTACAACTTTGTTTGCTCTCTTTGTTTAGTATTGATTCTGATTCCGATGGAGTTACGTCAGTAGCAGGGAAAACCCAAAAAGCAATTTTTAAGAAACAAAACAGTGTGGAAATCAAAAGTCACATATAAACTTATTTCATGTTATGCAGACATCTGATCACACCTCTGGGACCAAAAAAGAATTGGTCCAACATATCCTGCTGAAGACACATCTTTATCTCAGGGCCCTGAATATAGGGTGCTAGGTATATACAGTCACATTGACAAATAACAACGGCAAAAAAAAAAAAAAAACTTTTTCGAGTAAATCCCTCTGCTTTAAAAGTAATCTCTTCTGAATCACCCAGTTGGAAACTGGAAACTCGCCTCCCAACATCTTGAGTTTTGGAGAACACAAATAAACTCAACTCCATACTATCTATGTCTTTGCTGTTTCCAGACACTGAAACTCAGGGTGGTGGCGGGGGAGGGGGGGGGGACCTCTGAGCAAGGTCAAGTAACCTGATCAGGTGACAAAATAATGAAGTTACATACATTATAGCAGAAACCCTGGTATCAAACACCTTGAAACTGAAACATTGCATTTCAAACCCATCATGAAGACAGCCTTACATAATCGTTGGCGGAATAAATCTACTTGCTATTCCAGACATTACTAAATGCCTTAACCAGCATAGCAAATTAACACTTCCTGTCCATTAGCCGTGTTTTACAGTCATTAAGTGTTCATTCTTCTGTCTGCGTTTGAGAGGAGTGAAACAATTAAAAAGGACAGGAACCAGGATTTATGAAGGTGGTACGGGCCAGCTCCAGGAGAGAGGGTGGGTTGTGGGTAAACCGTGTTCATACTCAGCCCATTTTAGACCCAAAATGGTCCTTAATAACATGTCTTACTTTAGACCACCTGCCCTTATGCCTGGGGGGGGGGGGGGGGGGGCCCTGAGTTTTTTTTAATGCTTTGTTTGGTTTTTTTTTTTTT